CCACTCCTCGGAAGGAAGATGGGGCAATCTACTTCCGTAGTGATACTGCCTTGGAAACCCAAGGAGGGGTCCCTATGAGTCAGGTTCGACTGGATGGTACATAATAACAACAACATAATCACAATACAATTGCTTTTTAAGCATCTCTTTAAACACTACCTATGAGTTGAAAGTCATAGTTTCAATTATTAGAAAGTTCCTCAATCATATAAAGCCCAAATCTACCCCTAGGAATATGGTCTTTGGGGTTAGTCAATATTGATACTAGAGGCAACAATGCACTGTGGGAAGGCAGCAAGCATATTTGTTAGGATACAACATCTGTAGTCACAGAGATCTAGATTTGAGTTTTGGCTTTGTCATTTACCAAGTCTGATTTTCAAATCTTACAATACTCAGCTGCAAAATGGGATAACAATAAAAAGCCAAAGCAGTTGTGTAGAGTCAATTGTGACTCATGGCAACCCTACAAGCTTCAGATGGAACTCTGGTCCATAAGGTTTTCAAGGCTGTGATCTTTCATTAGCATATCATCACGCCTTTTTCTTCTGAGAAGCCTGTGGGTGGATTAGAAATGCCAAGCATTTGGCCAGTAGTCATGCATTTAACCATGTGCACCACCTAGGGTCTTCATTGGGATAATAATAAAACCTAATATTTGGGTTGTTGTAAAGAGTTAATAAAGGAGCTTTAGTGGTGTAGTGCCTAAGGTATTTGACTGCTAACCAGAAGGTTGGCAGTTCAAATCTATTAGCCACTCCACAGGTGAAAGATAGGGCAATCTACTTCCATAAAGATTTACTGCCTTGGAAACCCAATTGAGGGTGGCTATGAGTTGGAATCCACTCAATGGCAGTGGCTCTGGTTTGGAAGGAGTTAATAGGAAATTGAGAGTAAAGAGCACAGTATCTGGCACATGTAACTGTTTAAAAGAATTAGCTGTACAGACTTAAAACAAGTTACATCTCCCTAAGTATCAACATCATTTGTAAAATACAGCTATTAAGGATTATCATGCACAGTTATCTTCAGATTTGCAAAAATGTTTGTAAACTGTTAAGTT